TGGTCAAAAATCAATCAAACGAAGATCAACCAAGTTGTATGAGAGGATGTGGTTTTATGAATAACGTGAGTACTGAATTGAGATAAAAATAACATGAGTGGTTTACAAGGAAAGCCTTTGATCCTTGCTAGGATCTCCGACATAAAACCTTGGGAGGTGACAACGATCACCTGTCTTGTATTATCTTATTGATTTGAATGTAAATTATTGAGATGATGATAGAAATACAATTACAAGTGTTTTCTTAGCTCTAGGTATGTAAAGTGTCAAAAGATTGTGTCCGTTGTGTGTGTTTTACAGGTGTATATATAGTCTAGATTATGTAACTAAAAGCCTGATATTTCCGGGATCCTGCTGAGCTGGTATTTGCTCGTGCTTTGACTTGGTATTTCCTAGTCTTAAGCCTGATTGAAACGTTTCTTCGTTGATAATGAGTCTTATCTTGACCATTTTTGCACATGTGAGAAATAAACAAGAAATATAGTCGCTAAACTTGTTAGGAAATAATAATGGCAATGTTCAGGATCCTGATGTAGTTTCGGGATCCTGAGACTCCTTTAAGATCCGTGATCCTAGATAGGTTTAAGGATCCTTTGATATATTTGAGATCCGGGATCCTGGATAAGATTGAGTATCTTGGCCCTAACAACAACATAATAATTTTGATAGGAAAATGTATTAGCAAAAAGTTGTAATTTTGAAGACCGTAAGCAATGAACGAGAGTCATGATGATTGAAGTATTGTTGCGGCATCCGTCCAAGTGTCACTTGGTGATGATGGTTATAATGGGAGCCAACACATCACTTATTGTTGTTTTGTCACTATAATAACCATGTTTTTTCATGTGTTAGATCACGAAAAACATCAAAAGAATTAGACTATTGTTAATTACATATTTACATGTATGGTGGTGTTTGTTATTTTATATTTTATTTTTTATCACACTATGCTAGAAGGATTCTTCAAAATAATTGAAATGCAACATTAAGTTAACGAGTTAACTAATAACACTTGCAAGTAAAATTGACACACTATAATATAATTTTTTGAACGGTGTTTTTAGAATGGTGTAAAACACTCACTTTGTTGAAATTAAAAGTTCAAATTTTTTTTTTATCTCACCTCCCATTGATCCCATCGATTTAGAAGATGACTTCTTGGATGATCCAATTAATTATTTGCATATGGATTCTCCCATTTTATTCGCACCTTATACAAATATTTTGTGGAATAAATATTTCCTTTTCCAATGGTTAATTATCATGTGTCAAACTTTGACTTTGACTAGGCACGCCGCCCCCTACAGAAGCGCATCGCTTAACCCCAGACGTCCCACGCTTCACTACAATAAAAAGTAGTCAAATTCGGGACAATTTCACCAAAAGCGCGCCAAGCCTTATAGAAGCGTGTTGTGCTCCACAAACAATCAAATTCCCAAACAAGGTTTAAAGCCTTAAACCATGAAGCCAAGGGTCACAAATCTCATATCTGAATCTCTAAGATTTCTTAATGGATAAAGTTTCCAAATTTATCCATGTGGTTGATCCAAACAACCAAGATCTCAAACCCAAATTCCCCAAATGTCCCAAAATGCACTTATCAAATTGCATGGGGCTTGAAGAGCCCTATCATTCACCAGATCCCCAACCCAAAGCTAGATCCATATACTATCATCATCAAACACCTATGGAGTTGCTGTAAACTCCAAAGAACAAGTCATCAAAAGAACAAAACTTGCTAAAAAGGACCATTTATCGAAATAACTCATAGATCCAAAGAGGAAACAACATAAAAGCAAGAATATTTATGACTTACCAAAGTCCAGAAGCTGAAAGAAGGTTGAAAAATTTAGTAGCAAAGCTCGCAAGGTTAAGCTTTCTTGTTTGCACCACTCAAGAACACCGAACATGGAAGAATAATGCATTAAAGCTCCAACATCACCAAGAACAAGAGAAAAGGGGTTAGGGTTTCTCAAGGAACGATCTAAGGGTGTTGGAGGTTGAGAATTATCCAACCTTATGGGTTAATGGTCTTTAAATACCCCTAAAACCCTAATAAAATGATCAGCCCACTTGGCCGAAAGTGCATCGCACCTCTTAAAGAGCGTGTTGCGTCCCAATAGGTAATCTCCAGATTTTTAGTTTTAAGCAAATATGACTAATGACTTTCTGCTTCGCCTCAACCTTTTACTTTCCTTTAGACCATAAAACCCCTATTAAAGAATGGAAAAACACCATCGGAAATAAGGTGTACAACCAAGTTTCAAACTTGATTATCAAAAACTCACCATGAGTGGTCATAATTAAAGAGGAACAAAAAGGATGAATATTTCAGGGATTTTGAGATGTACATTGGAGACATGAACTAAGATGGTGGATACAATAAATATAGATGATGAGAGGAGGAAAGGTCACACATAAAGGAAGTGAATAGATAACATGATATTAGACTTGAAGAAATTAGGTCTTTTTGATGACCTGCCATTAAATAAGAGAGTGTGAGACATAAGATCAGGATAGTTGAGTAGTGTTTGGGTTTTACATCTCTATACACACTTAATCATTTTAGACGAGATTTTGTTTGTGCTTCTTACCCTATAAGTTAATTGGTCCCCAATTTAATGTTTGTTTGTATTATATAATATTTGCTCCAAGCTTTAAGACTAGTGTTTGCTCTACTACTTCATTGTTAGTATTTTGCTTATATTGTTTGTATTTGTAGCCCGTTCAAGAGAACATTTATTTGTGCTTGTAATCTTAGTGGTTGATCTTTTGTTTCCCTTTTTCATGGTTTGGTGTATTTACTATTATGAGTTTAAAGAGTTATTAACTCGGCTAGTGTTTGCTTTAAGACTTATTGTTACTATTTGTTTTAATTGTTTTGTGTAAATACAATGTGTACATGTTTACTCTTATTCCTTCTTATTTTAAAGTTTATTGTTTATATCCTCTCGTTTTCTTTTAGTCATTAACCAATAACCAAAGTGTATTTAATTTATTTGATTATATATTTATATTTTGTGTTGATTGATGGCGGATTTATGTTTAATATACACGATGTTATCTTGCTTTTATCCTATTTTTATTGGATTCGAGGTTTTATTTTGTTATTGTGATATACTATATAAAACTATCTTTATATATTAAAAGAGAAACTTGATGACATCACCTTCAACAATCAGGGTCATTCATTGTGTTTCCTTGATTAATTTCAACCATTAATTCATTTTGATGATGTCATCATAAAATAAAATAAAATTAATATTAACTAAATTCAGTTGACTATGTTTGGAAAGTTGAAAACTTATTAATGGTGAATGAAATTTTTAATTGGAATGTATTAAAATGAAATAAATGTCAGCATAATTGTCAAAACATAAATATGGTTCCTTCCTTTTTAAAATCAATTAATTTGTATATACCTTTTATAATTATAGAATTTGAAATCAAAGAATTCAAAATAGTATGATATGAATCATAATATTAATTTCTTCATATCCTTTCCAAAACCGTTGTTTAAAATTATGTATAAATATAATCTCATTAAGTTGTTATCACAATTTCGTGAAATCTAGACTTTGCAGCATCACGTTCGAATCTTTATATATATTAAAAGAGAAACTTGATGACATCACCTTCAACAATCAGGGTCATTCATTGTGTTTCCTTGATTAATTTCAACCATTAAATCATTTTGATGATATCATCATAAAATAAAATAAAATTAATATTAACTAAATTTAGTTGACTATGTTTGAAAAGTTGAAAACTTATTAATGGTGAATGAAATTTTTAATTGGAATGTATTAAAATGAAATAAATGTCAGCATAATTGTCAATACATAAATATGGTTCTTCCTTTTTATAATCAATTAATTTGTATATACCTTTCATAATTATAGAATTTGAAATCAAGGAATTCAAAATAGTATGATATGAATCACAATATTAATTTCTTCATATCCTTTCCAAAATCGTTGTTTAAAACTATGTATAAATATAATCTCATTAAGTTGTTATCACAATTTCGTGAAATCTGGACTTTACAGCATCACGTTCGAATACCAGCTTCATAAGGTTAGCAATTTTTTTTTGATTGACTGATTAATTTCTTACATCTGATTATAGTTTATGTGTTCAGTATATGTATCAATGGTTTATTAGTGGGTTTTTGATAAACGGATTTTATACTTTGTGTGTGTGTGTGTGTGTGTTTGTGTGTGTGTGTTTGCGTGTGTGTGTGTGTGTGTGTGTGTGTGTTTGGATTGGACTCTATGTATGGATTGGATGAAGTAAAATTCAGTTTAATGAGTTTTGTGTTAATTGGATTGGATTATGTGTTTGGATTGGATGAAAAAATAAATAAATAAAAGTAAAAATGGATTACCTTCCTGAAGGGTTTAGTGTCTACATATGTTATTTCTTCAAAACGACTTATTTAGGCTTGCTGTAAAAACTACTTTTAATTGGAATGATTCGTATATTCTTTAATACATGTGTGTGTCTGTGTTTTTCAATCATCATATGCATTTTTGTCCAAAGGTAAAAAAAGGCAAATGTAATTTTGATATTGTCGTATTATACATACTTTTTGTAAAATGACCTATTTACCCTTGTTGTGTGTGTCTGTTTGTGTTTCAGTGTGTGTATGTGTGTGTGTGTGTGTTTGGATTGGATTCTGTGTTTGTATTTGATGATGTAAAATTCAGTTTAATTAGTTCTGTGTTTGGTTTTGATTCTGTGTTTGGATCGGATGAAAATAGAAATAAAGAAAAGTAAAAGTGGAGTACCTTCCCGAAAGGTTTAATGTCTACATATATTATTTCTTCAAAATGACTTATTTACCCTTGCAGTAAAAACAACTTTTTTGGGAATGATTCATATATTCTTTAATATATGTTTGTGTTTGTGTTTCTCAATCAGCATATGCTTTTTTGTCCAAAGGTAAAAAAAAGGCAATGTACTTTTGATATTGCCTTATTATACATACTTGCTGTAAAATGATTTGTTTACATCAAAATGATAATGCATGTGTTATCATCCTCCTACGTATGGCAAAACTCAAAACTTGGGGTGGTAAGAATATTTTTTTATTATAAATGTCCATGTCATTACATTAATGTTTTATTTATAAGATAAATTAATTTATAACTTTAACTGTTATTTCTAGGTCAACCTCAAGTGGGTAAGTGTTTGTTTGGGTCGAGATTGCATATTAATGATGACATGTCTCACATTTCAGAATTCAGAAAAGTGTATGTCTTTTATCATTAATTAATAGCTTAATGTTTGTTTTTCCTTATTCTTAATCATTAATTATTTATATTGTTTAACATCTTCATTTTTTTCTTCTTATATGTAGTATTGTTGATATGGATTTGAATGTTGAGTCTTCCATTAGTACTACACAGTTTAATACCGATATTGTTGTGGCCAAGGCAGAGGATTACTAACTCCATTTTCCAATCAAGAACATTGATGATATTCCAGATTACAATGAGGTATACTTAACAATATTAATATTTTTCCATTAATTTTATAAATTTATGGCACATAACACAATGAATATATATATATATATATATATATATATATATATATGAACTTTTTTTATATATATTTTTAAAAACAATTATGAAATAGGAAATTGGTTTGTCCATTATTGCTACTGTCATCGGTTTTGATTTAGACGAAGGCTGATATTCTTTTTATTGTTGTGACTGTTCAAAAAAAGTAAGTAAGAATGATGATGATACTAATGTTGAACCATTTACTTGTGATGGTTGTGGTGGAGTTTCTGATGTTTACAACAAGTAAGTTCATAATTTTACATTTGTAAAGTTTTTGTGCCATTAATCTATATTCGAATGTTTCCAATATTATTTTATTGTCCACTAAAGTGTCATTTTATAATTTTTAGGGTGAGGGTCGTAATTCGTGTTCAATATGAAATTGGGTATGCTTCTTTTGTATTGTTTGATCGTCATGTTAAAGATGTTATTTACCGTGGTAATCAGTGGCTGATGGAAAAGATATTAAACGTAGCGTTAATTTTTTTAATCGCCAACTCATCTCTTATTTTGTTTTATGATATTAATTTTGTTTAATATATGTATTGAAGAATTGAATAAATTCATTTTAACCCATTAATGCATCCAATTCTTTTTAAGATAAAAAGTTGTCTACAAATATGTCTTTCAACGATTTCTACTTTTTTTATGCATTCATCCGCGTTTAACGCGGATTATAATCTAGTTATTTGTTAGAATTGATATTTTAAATTTATATATTTGTGAAAAGTTAAGGCACTTGAATCAATCCATGAAATACAACTTTATAAAAGTACTAGACCAATGTCCGTACGCTGCACAGATTAAAAAAATATTGTTAAAAAATTAAATATATGTGTTATTTAAAATAGTTATGTTATTAACGTTGACATTGACATAATAATTTATACATTAAGTTTATATATTTAATCTCAATTATTTTAAACAACATTACTCAATAGGCCTCTAATCACTACTTGCACATAAATAAATTTGAATACAATTTTCGATTTAGTGTAATTTTTTTAAAAGTGTTATGATCGATTAATATAAAATTTTACTTATGTTACAATCTTTTAACTTTGATTGTAGATATAGATATAAATAATTTTATGTTACTTTTTAACTATTATTTTTAATTAATTTAAAACTCACTTTGAAAAATATTCTATTATTATAAAAAAATAGTTTTTAGATATAATTTTAGTTAATGACAAATCGATTGGGGTATGTATTTAATACGTTTAAACAAATTAACTATTTAAAAAAATCTATGATCAACTTTGAAGTTTATTTGAGATTTTGGTTTAGGTTTTAAATCTAATATCATATTTAAATTAATAAATTAAATATATTATATTTACGATTTAAAAGTTGAATATAAATATTATAATTAGCACCATATTTAAATTAAAAAATTAAGTATATTATATAATAGTTCAAATAATCTGTCATGTTAATGATGTTACTTTATATTTAATAAGTTAAATATAATTGGAAGTTGATAAGACAGTAGTTTTAAATCAATATATTGAAGTTCAAAAAAATAATACTAATGGTCAAAGTTCATGATATTTAATAAAATCCATGTAATTTTTTTAAAATTATAAAAATATTATTATTTTGACATTAAAAATAAATAGAAAAGAAGGTCCATTAGTTAAAAACATAATCAGTTTATTATAGTTGATAAATAAGAAAATTTAGTTAGCATTGTAAAGGATAATAACTATATTTTAAACCATATAATTTGACTAATTATAAGATAACATAGTTTTAACACTTATATAAAAAAATAAAACAATGTGAATGATATTTATGGTGATTAATTTAGTATCTTAATAAATAAACATTAATGAAATATGTAGCTAGTATTAAAACTATTATCTTTTTCACTTATTTCTAGTAAAATATTTTAAAGGGTAAATGTCATATTAACTCATCAAACTTATTGTGTTTGTTTTAAAAGGTCACTAAACTATTTTTTTTTGCACATTAAAGGAATAAACTTACATTTCTCTGTTTTAAAATAACTTTATGTTACCTGAAACCGGGTTCAAAGGTAATATACATGTTAGGAAGGGTTTGACTGCCATGTAAACATCCACCTGGTTGTAAAACCATCTGCAACCTTATGCTACCTGAAACCTTAAACCACCATCTGCAACCTTATATCACCATCTACAACCACCATCATGATTTCCCTTTCACGGACAAAATCATCCCAAAGATTATGTTTACTGTTGGGGTATCCCCTCCATTTCTATACACAGACAAAATCATATATCCCCTATTTATCTTAGATTTCTTCAATCAACCACCACTGATGTTGCATTCCGCACCCCACCTCCTCCTCTTATCCTCCTCCTCCTCCGCCGTTCTCGTCCCTCCTTTCTCCCTCTTTCCGAATAGTCGTTTTCTCAGAGTATCTACCAAACCCTACTCTCTATCACACCAATATTCGACCAGGCCTCTTGCCTCATTGCTAGCTCAACTCCTCGATTCGGCCTTGCTTGAAGATGGACCCATCGAACTCCCCTTTTGTATACCTTCATTTATCTCCACCGACGATGACCCTACCACTCTCCAAGTCGCCACCAGCGTTCTCCTCACCGGCGCCGTCTCCATCTTCCTCTGTCGCTCCCTTCGTCGTCGTACAAAGCGCGCCAAAGAATTGGCTCATGTATCAGTGCTATCACAGGGGTTTGATTTGTATAAACCCTAATTATGATTCGCAACTGAACCTATTGAAGTTATATGCGAGTATTAGCAATGATTGAGTTGAAAATTTTGTCTATGGATTAGAAATTTAGGTCTACAGGAACAGAAACTAAAAAGACGTTGAAGGAGGAGGTACTTAAGAGTTTGAAAGCAATGACGCCGGTTGAGGCAAATGCTCCTCCGTCACCTCTTCAGGCGTTGCTGGGGAGGTTTTTCTGTTGGAATTATTGCAATTATTCTGTATAATTTCACCACCACCATCGAAGCTTCTCTGAATCATCAAACCATTTCTGATAAAATCATCCCCAATTCTTAATTGTCAATTCCAAATTCAAATGAGAGTCAAACCCAAATGTGTGTGATTAGAGGAAAGAACGAAGAATGCAATTAGATGTGTAGAGAGGAAAGGAAAGAAGAAGATAATGATTTTGAGGTGACGTAGATCGGAGTAAAATGGCAAGTCAAACTTGGCAACCTATAAAATCAGGTAAAATGGTGTAATTAACAGGTTAACAACAAGTTTAGTGACCTATTGCGCAAAAAAATAACTTTGACGACTAAATCGGACAAACGTGAAAAGTTCGTTGGGTTAATATGACATTTACCCTATTTTAAATCATGACATAATAAATAAGGAATAATAAAATTTCATCACACAATGTTAAATGTAAGGAACTGAAAACATTAGACGATTAATATATGTATTATGCAAATTTTCAGTTGTAGACTTATTGGTAATGAAATAACATTAGGAAGAAGTTTTTGAAATGCAATGAATTATTTTTTTTTTTTTGTTATAAAATTTCAATTTATTAATAAAGACTTTAACCACCTACATTAAAAAATACATAAGTAAAAAGTTGATTAGTTGTATTGATTTATTACTTTTTAAACTTTCTATTAACATCATTAAACAACTATAAAAATTAAAAAAGTTGGTTAATTGCATTGAAAGATTATTTTAATATAAAAGCTCAAAAAATTTCAACTAATAGTTACTGTAACGTCCCAAAAATACTAGATAAAATTTTGTTTTTAAATCAACCAAAACATTCAGTCATTACTTTCAGAGATAGTAATAATATCAAAAGTGTTTCAAATAACATGAGAGTGGTAACAAAATAATTAGTATGAAATCTTTTGTGTATGTGGTGCAATCATGTCAGACTCTTCCTCTTGGAACCAGAAGTACCTGAAATATTTAAACCACAAAACCGTAAGCACAAAAGCTTAGTGGCTTCCCCAAAAAATACCTCATACAATAATACACATACAATGCACGCACACACGGGCCTTTAGTCTGCATGGACTGCCTCGCAAGGCCTATAGGATGCCTGGACCACTCTACTGAGCCTACAGTCTACCGGATCGCCTTGCAAAGCCTACAATAGTTGGACCACTCTACTGAGCCTACAGTCTACTGGACCGCCTCGCAAGGCGTATAATAGTTGGACCGCTCACTTGGGCCTACAGTCTGACTGGACTGTCTCGCAAGGCCTACGGTACACTGGACCGCCCAGGTATTTTGGCCTATAACACAAAGCGGGACCGCCTCAACCCTACCACAATATGTCGACATATGTAAACAAACAAACAACAATCAATAGCCAACAATACATGTAATCATAATAGATCTACCAATCTAACAGATCACTACATCATACCAACATCTTACACACAAGGATACATACTAAAGTATAAAGTATAGTGAGAAAACTCACCTCACAACGTAGTCAACAACTAATCAACTCACACATCCAAGAAATGGGCACTACACACCACCTACCTATTTTCCCTAAGTAAACCTGTAACATCCCAAAAACCACAATAAATTTTAACTTTTCAAAAACAACCCAAAACCAATTGTTTACAAAACCATTGTTTCAAAAGTGTATTTCAGTAATCAGAGTATCCCAAAATCCAAATAACATAAAATCAAAGGATGTGCACGGTCACGTTGTCGTCTTGCCACGGTCATCTGAAGTACTTGAAACAATAAATTGAAATTGTAAGCCAAATCTTAGTGAGTTCCCCCAAAGTACCACCACACAAACATATAATCAAACAGATATCGGGTCTACAACCTCCTGGTTGGATTGCCCCTGGCCTACAACCTTACGGTTGGAATGCCTCGGCCCACAACCTTTTGGTTGGTTTGCCTAATACATAACGAGTCCATAACCTCCTGGTTGGATTACCCCCGACCCACAACCTCCTTGTTGGAATGCCCAAGTCTGTTGACTGGCAGCACAAAGCAGCACAATCTTAACCCCACATACTATGTCAACATATACATAATATTTAACATATAATCATATAACCAGTCAACAGATCTACATATCACTACTGCATAGAAAGATCCTATATACCACAATACATAAACTAATGGGCCGACATTGGTGCCTTCGACCCACAAGCACAGTGAGGAAAACTCACATCTCAGTCCGAACAAGTAGCGGAATAGATCTTTACTCCGAATATCAGCTCTACCCGTCACCTATTTATCAAATAGTGACAAATCTCAAATCCAACTCAAAATACCCAAAATACCCTTAGGTCAAACTTGGTCAAATTATGGTCAGAGTAAAAAACTCAAAAACTCAAACCTGGTCAACACAACTGAGTACGCCCAACGTACTCAGCTTGTACGTTTGGCATACACGAGTATTGACCAAAATGGGCTGAGTTGACCTCGAACGTTAAGCGTTCCTGGGCTACGCCTAATGTTCGTGAGGGACTTCTTTCCTTTCTTATTAAGAGTTTAATCCTTAATCTCTTTTGCCTATATTCCATATCTAGCCCTAAAATAAGGTCCTTAATTATAAAGGTTCGAACTTTATGGTCTTGCATGGCCATTAAGTGCCCAATATCAAAAACTCTAACTACTTAACCCATTAAGACCTTGTAACTCATGCATGGAAGGAAACTAACAGTCAAGATTACATTTGTATGCTTCTAAATGCTCCAAAACATCTGAAAGGACAACTTATAAGGATTAGAGTAATCCATACTCATAATACCAAGCTTATGGGACCAAAAGAACACAATTTCATAAGTAAACAAGATCTAAACACCTCTTAATCAAGTTCAAAGCTTTTTACCTCCAAATGATGCCAAATAATGTTGCTATTCTGGATCCAAAAAGTCTCACTCCGTAAGATGATATTCTCTTCTTCCTCTCTCCTTCAGGGTTACCAAAACACACACAAAATGATCAAGAATGCTCTAAAAATGGATTTGGGTTTGCATGGCGACAAAAGTGGGTTAGAGGCTGATGAAAGAAGGCAGGTTTGGGACTTAAGGATGCTTAAATAGGGTACAAACCCTAAAAATTAGGGTTTGCACCTTGGCCACTTACACCCATCGTTCCTAGGGGAACGCCCAATGTACCCAACTCCTAAAATTACGAAAATGTCATTTTGGTCCAATTTTGCAATTAATTCACATCCAAGGTCTAAAATGACATAAATTCTCATACTTAGGGTTTAAAATGAAAATACCTCAATATCAAGATGTTATAAAACCCCTAGTCTACCTTCTAAAACTAGCAATTTTACCAAAAGTCAAACCTGTTCAAAAGTTAATGGTCAAAGTCAACGCCAGTTGAGCTCCATGTCGTGGAACCTTCTCGAAAAAACAATCACGGCCATGCCAGTCACCACGTCGTGACATCTGGGCAGAAACAACTTAATGGATTAAGCTCTCAATATTTTAATCCCTAAGCTCATATTTTCCAGAAAGCTTCTTAGGACACTAATGGTCTATAAAAATCCTTGCTTTGATGACATGCATGTCTAATTCATATCATTTTTCTCAACTAGATCAAAAGTGAGATAAATGGGATCAAGATCCATGCATGAGCTCAAAATACCATAACTTTCACATCTAGAACATCTAACCCTCATTGGGACAACAAGGATCAATAAAGTTGCAAACTTTATCTCATCCCAACATTTATTTTTCACTTATGGACCAAATCATGCAAATAAAGCTAGATCTACAAATAAAGAACAAAAAATACAAGATCTTGAAGTCTTATAAATGGTCAAGAGAAAGATTCCAAGAATTAAAAAGAATTGATTGCTTGCTACTTGCACCAAAACCTTCTTCTTCTTCAAAGTGCACCAAAGACAGCAAAATAAGCCAAGAACTTCAAGGGGGGGGGGGATAGGGTTTTGAAATGAGAGGATGGGGGCTGAATAGGATGCTCTAATATTAGGCTTAATGTCTTTAAATATGGGAGAAACCATAAAAATCTTGGGCTTAGGCTGCAGCAGTTGCCATGCCATGGCTACCTACTTGCAACGTCATGGCAACAAGCTAGACTTGGAATCTTCATTAATGAAATGGCCACGTTGTGGTGACTTTTTCACCGTGTCGTGGCATAAGGTTTTCCCTAAAAACCTATTCTTTGAAATCCTTTAGTTCACATTTGATCATGTAACATCCTGTTTCGAGAAGTTTCTTATTCCGGGATTATGGACAATAAATGGATCAAGTAAAGGCCTTGGGCTTCAAGGGAATGGGTTTAGATGTTATTGGATGATGATAATGTTGGATAAATGATTAAAGCCTTGGTTTATGTCTTGGAGTCAAAGGGTAAAATGGGAACAATGATGTTTCAGACTTCTTTTATGAATAAAGGATTTTAGTTCGATGTGTTTTAAGTCAAAAGTAATAAGATAGGGTTTTGGGGCTCACTAATACATTTTTGTGCATATAAAGAACACCGAAAACGGAGTTGAAACGAAGAAGTTATGATTGTTTGAAGTTGGAGTGAAATTGAGTGAAAACCCGTTTTCACGAGGTGAAAAGTAGGTCTCACGACGTGAGAGTCCTGACGTGGTGAGAATATCTTCTCACGACATGAGAACTGTGCAGCCTAAAGCCCATGAAATTTTTAGGGTTTTCAAGGTATTTAGGGTATTTTCTTAACCTCAATCATATCTAGAACCTCTTGGTAGAAACCCTAGCCTCCATTTTCAATATTTGAGCCTCCCTTCT